ATTATTTTAAAATCTCAATATAAGATAGCATTTTTAGTAAAGTGCTATTATAGATGCACGTTAAATTTTTACTTATTTGTCATTATCTATGATAGCATTGATTTTAAAGTGCTAATAAAGGCCCTATTAATTTTTTAAAATTTATTTTCAATTTATAATAGCGTTTATGATAAAACACTATTATAGATCCTGTTTATTTTTTTAATTTAATTCTAACATATGATAGCGCATATGACAAAAGCGCTATTATAGATTTTGAGATAACATATAATAGCATTTTACATATAAGCGTTATTAAATATGCAATATGATTGGAAAAAAAATTAGTAGTTGAAGTCCCGTAGGTAGACGACATATGTATAAGTGACACTCTTGTCTACAAAAATCACAGTGTCAACCAAAATATGTAGGTATGCTCTCATAGCATACACTCTGTGGAGCTCCATTTGCTCGTCATCTCATAAAGCCTGTTGCACTCTAACAATCTCATATGTGTATACCTTTTCCAAAAATTCAAACCAAGCATGAGCCTCCTAGTTTTATCCAACTCCGTCATCGCATCCACTGGGTCAACTCCCAGATAGTCTATCATCATCTCAAGTGGCTCGTCTTTACTAATCCTCCTTTGATCTAGAAGTTTCTCCTTGATCAGAAGATGTTTCAAACAGGACACATCGTCGAGTATGATAGACATCTCACCATGAGGGAGATGAAATGACGAGGTCTCGAAGCGTCATCTCTTCACAAATGCATTAAGCATCCCGTGGTTGACCGTAATATAATTAGTCATGCACAAGTCCTTCATCCCAGATAGGGAAAAAGCTATTTGAAACCACTCCTCATTCGGCTGAGCCAAGCCAATAATCTTTCGCCTGTAGTTAATAAACTACAGCAGATCAAGGTCTTATAGAAACTAAGAATCTATAAGAAACTTGTAATCTATTAATAAACGTAAATTAAAAAAAAATGAATCCAATTAATGATGCCTCTTAGTTTCATATATGTTCGGCAATATGGTCGGGGTACAGAGGTAGTAGTGTTAAATCTATAAGGCCTTCTCCAAATGCCTCTGACTCAATATCCTCAGCATCCTCACCATCCGGAGGTGGCACTGACTCAGCAGCAACATCATCAGTAGAAGGTGACACAGACTCAGTAGGAGGTGGCATTGACTCAACAACATTAGTAGTAGGAGGTGGCACCGGTGACACAGATACCTCTGGCGCCTATGGGAGGATGGAAGGAGTGATGCGTCGTTAGGTGAAACTCGTCTCCTACAAGAAGAAGAAGATAGAGAAGCACGAGGAGAAACATGAGCGCCAAAATTAGATGTCTATGCATGGCTAGTGTGAACATGAGTCTCTGAAACCTGACTCTTCTCCTGCCGCACTGATGCATATTGTGCAATCCTCTTGTGCCTCAGTCTATCGTGTCTATCAGCCATAATGTCTTTAAGTAAAAGTAAACCCTACAATTAGTGCAAGCAAGGAACACTACAAGAAAGAAAATAAATAAAAAAATAACCTGATAATTTCCGGAGATGCATCTCCGGTTACTGAGAAATATAAACATTGAAAGTTCCAGAGATGAATCTCCAAAATTTTCTACAACAACTCAGGTGCGTCAATGACCGCAAAACAGACATCTAAACACAAAAAGTATTGGTTTGATCATCATTTTCAACCAACAAACATGTCTTACACTATGTCTAAACTATCACTCAAGCAATTTCTACTCATTTCTTATCTTAATCATCAATTTCTACTCATTTGCACAAAAACTCTAAAACTTTTCAAAAAAATCAAAAAACTTACAAATGAGGAGTTTACCTTACACTTTGATGATGTATTTAATGCATTTGATGTTGATTTAATAACCTCTGAGTTTTGTTATTTGATTTGGGATTTGGTTGATTGAATTTTTTTGAGAGTTTTTGATAAATATTTTAGTTATTTTTGTGAAATGAGGAAAGAGAAGGGTCTGACACGATATAAACTTCAATACCTTTCAGAGATTCGTCTTTGAAATATGTTTGAAGATGCATCTTCGAATTTTTTTCACATGGGATCTAAGTAACCTATAAGATGCATTAAGAAATCCTCAAATTAAATAGTACTCCCTCCGTTTCAAAATAATTGTTGTTTTAGAGAAAAAAATTTATTTCAAAATGAAGGTCATTTTCACTTTTTAATATAGTAATAATTGCTATTTTTCCAATTATATAATTTAATTATTACTTTGTACACTATTTCCAACACATTAATAAGACTAATTTAGTAAAAGTGTAATATCTTATGTCAATACCATTACATTCCTTAATTTGTGTCTAAAAATCTTAAAAGACAATATTTTAAAACGGAGGGAACACTAATTAGTTAAATTAATTCTAAATTGTATGTCATAAGTTATGCCTTAAGAGTATCGTAAATTGAACTAAGATTATTATATGGAAGTGGGGTTAGCGAGGGTAAGGATTGGCTACCTTGGAGTCCATGCCTTTCATACATTTTTTTTCTATCTCTCTAGTTAAACCACTCTCACTTAAACAAATGATTTCATTAGTTTATCTATACACATAAAGTTTATTAAAGGTAAGGGCCCGTTTGGCGCCCTGGATTAGGAGACATGATATGATTAAAATATCCTATCCTACTCTAATATATTGTTTGGTGCACCAATAGGAAAACCAATACTAATCATATCCTATTACTCATTTGTTCATTCTTATTTTAAGTTGAGTTAGCAAAAGAATAGGATAATTAAAACAAAACAAAAAAAAACATGTTTCTTCTAACCTTTCCTCTCACGTCCCTTTTCTTTCTTTCACATTCCCTCTCATCTCTACCGTTCTATCATCTCCGCCGTCACCAACTCAACCACGTTTTTTGCTACGGTAATGTCTTTCCATTTTAATTTCTTTATAATAATAGTTTTTTCTTCATCAATATCGATTTTTATCAAACCCCTAATTTGTTCCTTATTCATTTTTACTGTTTTTTTCTTCTTTTGTGTTCTCTTTGTTGTTTTTATTTATGTTCCTACTATTTTGATATCCATTGTGTTAAATTTTTTTTTGGGATACATTGTTTTCTTTTTCTGCTATTCACACTATCTCGTGCTCTTCAATGTTTTTTTCCCCTGTTTTAGATATATTATATGGTTATTATATAATTATATGAGTGCCCTCATACTACTTGTTCATGTTGTAGGTTAATATGGATTCATAGGATCAAGATATAATGCTACATCTAATTTTAGAACAATCTTTTTTAGAGATGGTTGAATTTTGTTTTACAATTTTAATAATAGTTAGTCATTCTTCATTATAGTTTTATGAAAATCATTGCATCAGGCAACAACCGATGGATAAAGAAGGATTAAAGAGGAATTTTTAGAGCATTTGATCAAGAGAGATGATGTGTTATGTGTTAATCAACTTCACATGGACATTAGATTATTTATATTATTATGTTGTTTCTTCTGTAATGAAGGTCAATTGAAAGAAGATGAACTAGTATGTGTTGAAGAACAAGTGGCTATGTTCTTACACATATTGGCACACCATTCAAAAAATCGTGTAATTAAATTCTTATTTAAACGGTTTGGAAAATAATTAGTATGTATTTCAATTTAGTCTTGAATGACGTTTTAAGATTACATAAGATACCTCTTAAAGCTTCAAAACTTGTTCCTGAAGATTGTGTGGATGAAAGATGGAAATTGTTTAAGGTACTTTTTGTCTTAATTTCATTTGGAATTTTTATTTATGTTATGTTCTTTCTGATTAAACATTCAATTTGTAAATATAGAAGTGTCTTGGAACACTAGATGGAACACATATTCAAGTAAATGTACCGGCAATTGACAAATCTCGATATCGTAATAGAAAACGGGATATATCTACAAATGTTTTGGATGCATGTTTTAGGGATATGCAATTTATTTGTGTTACTTGGATGAGAATGATCAACATCAGATTTTAGGGTATTGTGGGATGCCATTTCTAGGATGATCGGTTTAAATGTTCCAACAGGTTAGATTAATCATGCGGAATAAATTATCTTAAAGCAAGATAAATAAAATATTTTTACTTGACTAATATATTTGATTATTATAGGTTATTATTATCTTGTGGATGCTGGATATACAAATTGTGAAGGATTTTTTTTTTCTTATAGAGGGTGTCGTTATCATCGGAGTGAATAGAGGCGTGGATACACACCTTCAAATAAAAAAGAGATCTTTAACATGAAACACTATGACAAAAAATGTGATAGAAAAATCTTTTAGATTGCTAAAAATGCATTGAGCAATACTTAGGAGTCGCTTTTTCTACCCAATAAAAATTTTAATTCGAAGTATAAATGTTTGTTGTTTGTTACACAACTTTATTTAAAGAGAAATACATATTGATCCAATGGAACAACAATTAAGCATAGATATGGAAGCATAAAATAAAATAATAGTTTGTGTATATCTCTCTAAAACACCAAATACAACATAGTTTGTTAGATTGTGTACACTCTAACTATACATCTTTAGTGCAATTCTATTTTAATTGAAAGCCTATTCAACATTAACACCATTCTAATGTCAAAAATAGTAATTGCAAAGTAAATATCTAATTTGATCATTGAAATTATAAAAACTATATCAATTTAGCTTTCATATAACAAGTATTTCAAAATGCCATTCAAATAGTAAAATGTTAACATGGTTCTTCTTTCCGTCTCAAAATGACATTCAAATAGTAATGGCAATAATGATGTTAATTTCGCAATGCAGGGAAGAATTCGAAACTAAATAAATACTAAAAATTCAGAACATCAAAAAAGAAATCAACAGTAACCATAAACATAAATTTCAACTTTCGCGTAAAGTTTTCAGCTCGGACATTCATCAAACACCTTGCGTGCCCATTTATCCTCGACAGGTTTAAACACAATCACAAAATAAAAAGAGAGTAGATATCAAAATCTCAATTCTCAATACAAATTGAATTAGTCTTCAATTACCCTCTCCTCCGGAAATCGAGAATCAATAACCGTTGCGGAATCATTTCGTTGTTGTTGTTCTTGTTCTTCAGCTTTCATAGCAGATTGAAAGTCCCGTAGTCCGGTTCTCATCACATTCGCAATGAGTACTGCAACAAGAAAAAAGAAAGTGTGTGAGTAATTCTGTGTGGAGGAGAATGATTGAAGATGGAATGGAAGGAAAAAAGAAAGGTACTAGCGGCGGTTCCGAATGTCCAAATCCAGAGGATCTTTAAGCCAGGGCTTTTCTCTCTCCGTTGCATGATGAAATAAACTCAACTAAGAAGTTTAACGATTTAGGGGGAAAAACTGTACTTGATCGTGGTTCTGGCTGCTATGTTTGCGAGGGGTGAAATTAAACTCTCCATTTAAGTCATAAGTTCTAAACAAACTAAAATATTTATTAATTTTTTCTACACTTTTTTTGAAAGACCAAACTATATTATAAAAAGTTAATAAATACAAAAATGATTGTTTTGCACCTACCCATGCAATAAAATCAGATGAAAAATGAAAATAAACGTAAAATCAAATTGATTCGTCCATCACATTTATAATTATTGGAATGATCAATTTCATGTTGAAATGTTTGATTAAATAAGATACTTGACGGTTAGAGTGTGACGAAATTCATTCACAAGTTGAACTCGTGTGTTGTGCCGGTCAATTGTGAGTTTCACTTGGCAAATGACCGGTTACACTCTTAGAGCGGGTGTTATAGAGTTGACCAACATTTCTAACATTAACTATAATTTATAATTTTAGAATATTGTTTTTTTTTCTTCCTGAAAATAGAGGGCCTAAGCCTGAAAACAACTAAACCCAAATTGTTCACAATGTCGTGTTACCACTCATATCAGCTACATAGGAATTTTTAACCTCCATCGGACAAATATCTAAAATTTGAAGGCTTACTCTATGCTTAGCTCCTAACTTTGCTAACACCATCGACAAAATTGTTTTCTTCACGATACACATGATAAATACGATACTCGTCCAATTGTCTCAATTCCATGATGATTTCCTTAAGCAAGTTACTTCCAATCCCCATGTTGTGTAGGTTCTTGGAGATCTCTTTGTTAACTTCTTTCGAATCTGTTTGCAGATATGTCTTTGAGCAAGAAAATGTTTTGTCTTCAAGCCATTGTGATACATCATCCATATGAAAATTCTGACTCTTTCAGGTACTTAAAGATTCCAGATATCCTTCCAATTCATAATATCTCTGGTAACATCATAGTTGGTTAGGCCATTGTAAGCTAAAGCAATAAGGAAAGTTCCATCATTGGTTCCTCTCCAAGCACGCTCAAGTTTTCCCAAGTCTTTACCGGGAGGATGAACGACAATTATTTGGTCTAACAGATCTTAATTGCACCACCTTCTTAATATATTCCAGTCCCACTTTCTTGCTTCATCCACTAAAACCACTACCTTATTTCTCAATTGCTCATTCGAGTTGTTGCTTATGCGATCTTTCAACCTGATTCTTGGAGAGGTCCAACAATCATTCCATACATCAATAGGTTCACCATTCCCAACTACCCAAACACTTTTGTTATCAACAACATTTCATGACTTCACCAGGGATTTTCACAAACCAGAGTCTTGTGGCTTGGCTTTAATACTTCTTTCAACAATGTTGTTTCTACCATAATTTCCTCCAAGAAACTTGCACCAAAGAGCATTGCCCTTTTTGATGAAATTCCAACCAATTTTAGCGAGACAAGATTTTTTTTCATTTCTTTCAACTGTCTCATCCCAAGGCCCTCATCTTTTTGTAACTTTTGGATTACTTTAAGGTAGCTATGATGCATCCAATTGCTCACCATGGATTAGGTTGGTAAGGCTTTAATAATAACTTTGTCCAGAGTCGCCCTACTAGTCATTGACAAGTATTTAGTTTTCCACATTGTGAGTTTGCTTTTAACCTTGTCTATAATATATTGATAATCCTATGCATAATGGTTCTACCTGTAACAGGGACACCCAGGTAGAGCCATATCGTTGTTGCTTCCTTAATGCCAGCTTCATAAAGAATGTCCTTACGGGTCACTGAGTTGGTGTTCTTTGACAAAATGATTTTGGATTTATCATAACTAATGCATTATCCTAAAATTCTACAAAAGGTATCTAACATCTTTTTGATGATTATCATTTGGTTGATTGTGGCTTTACCATAATGCAAGAAATTTTCAACAAACATTAGGTGTGCCACTTTGGGTTCTTTCCTGCCTACCTTGATGCCTTCCCACTTACTAGCTTTAGAGGCATCAGTGATCATATGAGATAGTTTTTGCATACGTAGAACACATATGTGTGAGAAGATTGGATATCCTTGCCTTAGGTCTTTCCTTGTGTTGAAGTACTCTTCTTTCTGTCCCTTCTAAAGTATAGTCATCTTCACCGTTTATATGGATTTCATGATTACTTGAGTTAACTTTTCAGGTATACCAAGCTTAAACAACACCTGTATGATAAATCTCTAACTCATCATGTCATATGCTTTAGCCAGGCCTACCTTCACAACAAAGTAGCCATGTTTTCCCTTGGCTTTCTGCATAATGTGAAGCATTTCCTGTGTCACAATAAGGTTATCTAGGATGCTTCTCCCTTGGACAAATCTAGTCTAGTAAGGGGATACCATACTATCTACGGTTTATTGCGTTTTAAACACTAAAATCTTGCTTAAAGATTTATAGATTATGTTGCAGAAGGCGATTGGCCTGAACTGAGAAAATAGTTGAGGATTATCAACCTTAGGGATAAGGCATAAATCCTTGTAGTTAACTTCATATATTCTTTCGAGATTTCACTAGAGAGACTAAACATAGCTACTAACTTGAATGCCCACTTTGCTCTAGGACTTCTGGAAGAATTCTGCCAGATAGCCATCAGGTCCAGGGGATTTCCATGGCACCATGCTAAAAACAATTTTCTTAACTTCATCAGTTGTCAATAAAGGTGAGAAAAAAAAACAAGAAGATATGTTAAATTTTCTTGGCTTTTTCTCCTTAAGTTTTTTCAACTTCTGCTTCTGATGGTTCTTATTCAGATTCTAAACACTTGTTTCAGAGTCTGACTTTAAAATCACTCAGAGTCTCAACTCTTGAATGTCTTTATTATATTCTACAAGAGAATTTGATTAAGAGGTAAATATAATATATCAGCGGAATAATGCTTAGAAGCAAGTAAAGTAAAAAAACAAGAGACACAAGCAACTATCTTGGTTCCTCTCACAACGTGAGAGTAGTTCAGTCTCCTTCTAATTCCAAGGGATTTCCATTATAACCAAACATGATTACAAATTCTCAAGCACACAATAAAGAGACTTTCAAATGCTCAAGCACATAAGCAAGAGACTTTCTTTTCTTAAGCACACAGGAAAGAGACTTCAAATGCTCAAGTACTAAGGCAAGAGACTTCTAAATTAAAACAAATTGTTAAGTGATTTGGGTAATAACTACACTTGATATAAAATCAAAGGTGTTGATAGAATAAAACTTATAAAGACTCTATGACTTAAGAACTTCTAAAATATATATTGTTAAGATGTTCTAAGTCTAAAAAATTTGACATAGTAACTTCTCTTTGATTGTCAATGTTCAGAGTCTTGTGTTTGTATGCTGTATTAAAGCTTGGTAGTCTTCTTCTTTAGGTCTGCATCTCCTTATATAGAGAGGAGAAAAAGAGATGTTGAAGACTTTCACCAAAAAGGTTGATCTAGATTTGTACTTAATTAGATACAACAATAAATCACCTTTCTACAAGAGGAATTACCCGTTGAAGCTCAGACACCAAGGAAGAGATTTTTCCTTAAGTCTTCACATTGTAGCGGGAAAATTTGTGAGTGTAAGCTATTGATTAACTTAACTAAAAAAATTCAAGATTCACCACCACACTTTTATTTTATCCAAAAGGAAAGGAAAAAGAGTGAACAAAACCTAAACAAGTTCTAAAACAAGAACAAACAGAGAATGGGTAAGGGGGTTGGTTACGCGATGGGAAGGTGTTAGCACCCAAAACGTCTATAGTACTCTATAGGAGCCCTTTGAAATATCTATGCTTTTTGGTTTGAAAAAGTTTGTTTGAAATGAGATTGGGGAGATGAGAAGAGAAATATTTTTTAAGATTTTTATGTTTGGAGAGACTTATCGCCTCATGCCTACGTACCCACAAAGTGCAATATAGGATCAAAACCCCGTAGTTCGTGGTACAAATAACAAAAATTGGTATGTTTTGATTGATTTTTAAATGTAAAGACAAGTCGTCATTTTAAGGAGAAAACTACGACTAGTCGCCCACAAGTATAAGACAACATTTACATCACCTAAAGATGGAGGATTTTGCTTGAATTAAAATCAACAAGTCTATCACCCAACATCTAAGTGGAAAATGTAAACATATTAAATAATATGAGTAATAGGAGAATTATATCTCAACTATGGAAATGACTCGTGTCTAAAATTTATGAAAAGTTTTAAAATGAAAAAGTGCACAAAGGCACAAAAAGAGTTGATGAGTTTTTATATTTTTTATGTCTTTTTTTGAAATTGGTCAAATATGATTAACATTGATTGACAAACAAAATTTGAAAATCACTTGACAAAAGTCAAGGTTTTATTATGAAAGCGGCTTGAAGTTTGAAAAAAAAGAAGTTTTAAAATAAATAAAAAAAGGGAGAAGATTTTGAAAATTGAAGAAGGGGAGGAGATGAAGTGACTACCCTAGAAATCAAAATAAAATCTATAGATAAGAAGGATCTAACCTAAAGATAGCAAACTCCATAGCAAGCCAAATAAGATTTTCTTCCACCTTGAGCATAAGTAAATGAGCAAGCCAGATAAAGACAAAGATCCATAATACTCCAAGCATAGGGAAAGAGATCTAATTCTAATTCCAAGGGTCCAAGAATAGTCCAAGAAGTCCAAGGTCTAAGTCCATCCATGAGCATAACCATAAAATTAAGAGCATCAAGGTTTTTAGAGGTTTAATCTTTTATTAGTGTTTTGAACAAGATATGGTTCAAGTGGACAAACAAAAAATGACGGAAACATAAACAAAAATATGATATGAGATGATAATAATGCAGTATAAAAATAAAAGAGAAATAGGGAGCGAGAAAGAGACATAAACAACATTAGTACAATAATATTGTTAGTGACTTAGCGATTAGTTGTTAGAATCAAATGATCAATGATGGTTAACTTATACACTTAGCCCAAAGTTAACAAAGACGCATTAGAGGATTGATAAAATCAAAGCC